AATAGATCGTCATAAAGGGTAGATTAATATCATGATCTATGTTGGATGTACACAGACATAAAAGATAATTATAGTTGTGATTGGAAGATAGCTGAAGCAAAGGTTATCAACTCAAATGTCACAATTACAAGCTTGCTCTCTTCAATTCAGTAGCAAAGACATGGAGATTAATTATGCCACAATATCAGTTCACCAAAGAAGCCCACATCCGTGAGGTTACAGTGTTACACAACAAAACAGCATTTGTGGAGCAAAAAATTTGCATTTTGTTTTCCTTCAAATAGCCATTGTCAAAACATAAATGACCAACTGTCCAACTCTAACTGCTATACCAAACCAACCATCACAAGCTATAATTTGCACATCTTGACCCTTGTCCACACCTGGAAGATTGTACAGATGCCATTGTCGAAATGATGGAAGAGAAATATGAGGTTAACTTAATGACACCACAACTTGCTACATCGAATTAACCAAATACACATGGAGGGTAACTATTTCAGTTATCAAACTAGAATTTAAAATTTTGCACGAAGTGGTCCATAGGTTATACTAATTAGTTGATTAGTTCCAACCCATTTGGGTAAGGGAAATCCCTCTGTACCTTTATATAAAGGGAAGCAGACAATCATTAGATCGGATAGAAGGCTATAACCATGCATATGCTTTGCCGGTAACTTAAGCTGATGTTTCAATCTTTATTATAGCTTTAATGGACTAGGGTCCGAGGAAAACAAATTACCTTTGAAGGATGAGGTGAAATTGCTGCACATCATCCTACATAATTGTTGGTATGGCTAATGAAAGCCATCCTGCATATGAAATAATCATGCAGATGAATAAAGTATATTTTCAATCTCTGCAAGTTCGTAAGGAAAAAGATGAAAAAAACATGAGAAAACATCTCATAGTCACATGCATGTACTGTGTAGAAAAAAAGTCGTACAATGAATCCTTTCGAAATTACTCATCGTTGGATATGGTGCTCATCCACGATATCGTGTACAGATGCTGAGAAATTAGAGGAGCGAGAGTGATTGTTACCATATTCTTCAATCTACGCCTTGAAATTGCTATGCAACGTTAATACGTCAAGCATCCATACTAAGGCATCATAAGCTCATGGACTCACCTAGACAAAAGCATATATAATAAGCTGGCAGCCAGTCAAAAACTAAAATTTCGCTTGGCTCAACTTTTTTACAGCTGGTTTTGAATTTCACAATTTGATTTTAGAATGCCACAAAAGTGCTACCATTGACAAGAGCTGCTTCTGCCCGCAACCTGCAGCACCCTTGGACTCCGAAGGCCTCTTGTCATTTTCTCTCCCAAAAAAATCTCCTTTATTTCAACTTCTTTTTCATCGGTATTGTGTTTGCGCATGCTGAATTGCAAACATTGGTTAGAAAAATGAAGATGAACCCAGCTATCTAGGTGCATGTACGTTAATAAAGGGTTACATTTTTTACAAGCAAATGGTATACTTCTATATGCTGACCCGGTGGAGATATTCATATTACCGGGAAGTTCAATACAATGCACAAAATTGTTTCTCTCAGGATTTAGGAAGCTTGCTTAGCAGCACAAATCAAGCAAGCTGAATTATGTTTATGAAACACTCAAAAAATCTAGATATCAATTCAAATTGCAACTGGAGAGGCTGAAATGCAGTTGCACAGCTCAATGGATTAACTGGAATGCGAATTACAAGCCAATTGGGAGTAGGCACTAACCTAGGACCCTCTTCACATGCAGATCCAACGGCACTGCCATCCAAAAGTGTTGAACTCCTAGCTGTGACCTCTGTGTGGCGTCCTTCCATCGAGTAAGCATTTCATCGAGCACTTTCCATGCATGCCTGCATTGCACACTTGTGGAAACAAAGAGCACAAGAAGACATAAAGTACATGGGAAGGTAAAGCATAGGATCCTTCAATGCAATGCATAGATAGAGCAGAATGCCACCGTTGGTCTAGAGGAGGTTCTCATCTATCCAAGGTCCAGTAAGCAACGATGGGTGGGTTTCTTGGTTTGGCCTACCTCTTGGTCTTGTAGACACCAAGTAGGCCCTTGCGCCTTTGCGTGATGGGTTTGGCAGAGTTCACCAGAGAATTGAGCACAGTGTAGTGGAGGAGGCCTCTCGCCGGCACTACGGTTGAGGAAGACCAGGCGAGGGGAGGATGCGATTTGTGGTGGGAGGATGCGGTTTGCAGCGAGAGAAAGTGATTTCACGAGAGGAGGCGCACTGCAGTGGTAGGATATGTGCGGCAATGTTGGTGGATTGGCTCATCGTGTGGATGATGGCACGGCGGCGGGGTTAGCGCGGAGGATTTTGCGGCGACGGTGTCATCGCGCTAATGAATTATGCTGCGTCGGGGATTCTGCGTGTTGGGCCGGGTTTCCGAGTTCACCGTAGGATTGGTAGGGATTGAACATATCGATTTCACCTGTAGGATTGGAGGGGTGAACTCCTCCTTTTTATATTAGTATAGATGTTGTTTACAACAAAGTAGCATGACAGAATATTATAAGACTGGAACAGGCATATAGGCCAGCAATGACAGTTCGGAGTTTTATGAGGGCTTGCATCAACTACGATTATTTCTTAAGATTTCGGCTGTGTTTAGTTTCTGAAATTGGGGAGAAGTTTGGGGAAAGTTGGTAGTTTGAAAAAAAGTTAGGAGTTTATGTGAGTAGAAAAGTTTTGGATGTGATGTGATGTGATAAAAAGTTGAGAGTTTGGGAGAAGTTTGGTGTGAACTAAACAGGGCCTCGTGTTGCTGAAATCCGGCGCTCATGTAGCCGAGCCGGTCAAGCCGCGTGGCCGTGTGTAGGAGCCACGTGGAGCACGAGATGAGCAAAAAAAAAATCTTGCACTTATCCTCTCGAGTAGGGGTGAAAGTGGTTCGGATAGTTTCCGTCCGTCCGGACCATTTTTGGGATTCGGATAGTTTCGGTCGGAACTATCCGGAAATTCTCGGATTCAGAAACGAATTCGGATTTTTTTTTCTCGGAAACGAAAATGAATACAGTAAGGGTACTATCTGTCGGAATCGGAAAACAGTCGGAAACTATCCGTATTTTTTTTTCGGATATCCGCAGACATTGAGCAAATTTTAGAAAAAAACACGTATATATACATAACTTTTCCATACGGAATCAGATGGAGACAAACTTTATATCAACATTGTAGAGCTCGATGAGATCTACAACTTTCTTATTGATTATTTTATTATTTGAGGTCATTTAAGGAGTATAAATATTCATTATAATATACCATATTAATTTTTACAAAATCTCATATCTACAATTCAAACGACATCTGATGGAGATGTGTTCCATATCAAAGTTGTAGAGCTCAACGGGATCTACCACTTTGTAGTTTATAATATTTGTATTTAAAAGCATTTAAAGTATAAAACAAATATTACAAGTTTCGAAGATGTGAAGTAAAATAAATAACAACTCCAATTTATACAATGGTAAGTAAGTTATACATCTAGTAAAAGGTCCTGGCAATAGAAAATGATAATTATATTTGCATATGGATCTCTAAAAGGAATAGCCATGAAAATCAATTTTCACATAGGGTTGTGGGACCGTCTACAAAATTGACGATATAAATGTTGGAGATGTTGAACTAAAATAATAAGCGATATCTCTTCCTTGATCAATAAACTCAATTTGAGGGGTTTTTTATATACCGGTAAATATTCGCTACCGTATTCGTTCCATCTCGTATTCGCTCCGTATCTGTATTCGATAATATTCGATTTCATTTACGTATCCGAGTTTTCGATTCTGAAAAAAAAATATGAAAACGAATATGATAAAGCTAGTTTTCGTCCATTTCCGATCCGTTTTCATCCCTACTCTCGAGGGAGTGGAGCGAGCCCTTCCCCTTATCCTTTCGCACTTCTCCTTTCCCTTCGTGTCCGCGCTCCTCTCCCTTTGCCGCTATACCGGCGCCCCCTCTACCGCTATACCGGCGCCTCTCCCTCTCCCTCTAGCGCTGCACCAGCGCCTCTCCTTCTCCCTTGCGCGGCGGCCAGTGCTAATCCCTCTCTCCTCGCTTCGGCTGGCGCCTCGCCCTCTTCCCTGGGCGGCGGCTGGCGCCTCTCCGGCCCTCTCTCCTGTGCAGTGAGGCCTCTCCTCTCCTGTGAGGTGGAGGAGGAGGCGCAGGGCGGCGGAGGCCAGATCGAACAACCCCCGAGCTCGAGACCGCCACGATGGCAAGGAGGACGGTGAAGACGGCACGGAGACGGCAAGGATGGTGAGGACAGCACGATGGCTCCACGGAGGAGGAGGCGGTTCCATGGAGGGAGTCTTGGAGGAGACGACTGGCCAGTCTGGCGTGGGTGGTGGGACCAGCGGAACATCAATGCTAAGGTTGGGAAGGGTGGCTGATGATATGGAGGAAGGAGAAGTGCAGGCTCTAGCTATCTGTACGGTTTTTGTTCTTGCCTCGATTTGTTTGGTTGAAGTTTTGCTTATGTTTCTTTGCCTGGTGAAGTCATGATTTGTCTAGAGATTGGATTGGATGTCTTGGAGAGAATTTTATGATTTGTTTGTATGTATGTGTTTCTTTTGAGATTTTTGGAAGAGTCCGATGATGTTGGGAAAGTGCGTGTGATGCGGATGACCAGCAAAAATTATAATCGGACTCAAGTAGAGAGAAGTTGCGCGTGATGCAATCATGCAAACGACGGGAGATGGACGAAAAATCATCCCGGAAGCCTTACTAACACGGACGAAAATAATGTGACGAAAGAAAAAATACTAATATTTTAATTAGTTAAGATTAAGATATGTATATTCTTAACGATATAAATGCAAATGCTAAAAAATAAACTTCAATGATAAAACCTCAAAATCAGATCCAAATTTAAAGGTAAAAATTTAAAATTTGGCTGATAAGTATAAGTATAAGGGAAAAGATGAGGCACTAGTTACATCCTTAAGCAAGAGGATCTGCTTCCCTGTCGGACTGCCTGCAGCGTATCACATAAGGGGGCCCATACGGCCGTACGTTCCATGTGCCTTGTTCCCGGGTGCGCCGCCGTCTCTCAGAGTCGGAGGCGCCGAGTACTCAAACGCGCCGCAGTTTCCGACCTCGCAACCAAGCCTCCACCACATCCCACGGACCGATCCCCCTCTTGCCCCCCACCGCCCGACGCGGCGGCGCCGCCTCTTCGCCCTCGGCTCCGGCGACCGCCGCTGCTACCTCGCCGTCGGGTGCCTCATGCCTCGCCGTATGGTGCGTTTCGTACCCCTCCGTTACTTACTCTGGTTGTGACCCCTAACAGATGGATGCCAACCATGGCCAACAGGAGTAAATTTTAATTTAATTTATCTCTTTTTGTTCTTGCCAAAGATTGATGGTTTGTGATGCAATACAACCATCTGGATTCATCGCGGGCATAATTCTGCAGTGGTTGCTGTTCAGTTCTTCAGAAAAAGAAAATATGGGCAGGTAAAATTCTTTTCATCTAAGTGACCATGTTTTATCAGATGTTGGTTTAGGAAGAAAGCACATTTGCATGAATCACTGTGACTCTGCGTTTAGGAAGAAATAGAGGTTTCCTGAGCTATGAAAATAGTTACAAATTTTCATGATATATGTTATAGACATGGATCTGTTATATCACAATTAGAGTATCAACATTTAACTAATACAACAATCCCAAAATAAGCAATACAAATAATTGCACATAAGGACAATCCCGAAAATAAGTATCAATTGCCCATTATGCCTTGTACAAGAGAGCTCTTATCTTTGTATATTTACAAAGATGATATCATTGGCAAAACCGGATTTCAAAGTTTAATTTCCAAATTTCAATGAAGAGCACTAGTCCTCCAAACAGTGACAATGTAATGCCAGCCATTTGCGTGGCAACAATCCATATGAAACAACAGCATTGGTTTCAATATTCATGTGTCACTTTTAATGTTAAATAAGTCCATTCTTTGAAATGTACCATTGCATCCTTGGTTCATCAGCACTTATCATAATCATTGGGACACCAAACTCCATAAGACATACAAAAGTTGTTCAATGAAAGCAACAGATGAAGACTTCTGATTACAATCCAAAAAGAGCAGAGAGGGTAAATGTGCCAAAGAGAAATTGAGAACATAGCAGCTGTGCCGGTCAGACCATGAGCGAAAACATGAAGACAGCAGATAGGAATCAGATTGCAGAAAGCACAAGTGATCGGTAAATTACAAACTTACAAAAACAAAGTAAATCCCTGCCTCAAATAACATCAAGAACAAAGTAATGACAACTAAAGCAAAACAAGTTGACTTAGGCCATTGTCTCAAAGCCAGTTTACAATGTCAAATGCAGGAACTGAGAAATTTTATTGTCTCAGACATGTCATAGCATGTTCTCATTGAACCAAAATGACATCAGGTTCATCAGAATCCACTAAGGACAATTCATCATAGAATGGTTATTGCACTGAACTGAATGCAAATTTCTATCTTTAGCAGATAAGGAGAACACACAGAAAAGATTTATTTCCAAAAATCAAGAAAAATGAAATCATGATATTTAAATGTATTTTACAAATGCAGCATCAAGCTTTACTAAGGAGACTCTCTTCGACTCTCAATGTAACCAGCTAGTTCCAGTTGATACCTGTGTTTCTTCAGCTCTCTATGTGAACACCTGTATTCGCTGGATGGTGTAGAACTCTCTTCGGTTGAGACCTTTGTTTTATGCTGAAATATCGAAAAATATGCAATTCACCTACAACGGAGAAGACAGATATCAGAGCAAAGGATTAATGGTCTCACAGACACTACACAAGAATAACGATATGTCAAAATCATCCAACTAAATAACTATTCAAGAGGAAAAACGAGTTGCAAAGAAATCAAGAGATCACAGATAGAAGGAACTCAGATATGGTTAGTTTCCTTTCAGAAACAATCTCAATCACAGATATAAGGAACTCAGATAGAGGCATAGATGCATCACTGGCCAAAAACTGGCGGGGTCAAGAACAGGAGAGAAAGCCATAGTACACTTATTATCCCACTTGACCAACTGCATTTCATTTTTTATGACAGAAAGCCATTTTATTTATATAGACATCATAGAAAGTAAAAAAAAACGAATATATAGGAAAAGCACCTCAGACATAGGATAACAAATTCTCAAGGTTCATCAAAAAGTACAATAAGATAGTCATCATCGGCACTTCATTGTAAATTCCAATATGGCAACTTAAGGAATAAGAATCATCTGTCGGTGTAGGCCTCAATGAAACTGAAGTTTACACATATCAAATAAGCAATTAGCCAATTTGTTTCAATCTCGAACTGTGTGTGTTGCATCATTGGCTTAAAAGGAAAAATCATATATCTTTATATGGAAAAGAAGCTTAAAATATCACACATTGAAAACCTTAATATCATAACAAGAAAAACTATTTTACTGTAAAGCAACAATGCAAACTGGGCAGAGAGCTTGGCACAAAATTCAACCTGGGAAAATTCAAAGTAAATGTGTGCCTCAAAATAACTTCGGGAATCTTGTAGTGCAAGATTAAACTCATTTGTTCATCATTGCATTGTCTTCTTATCATTGGCAAGTATACAAACACATCAAAAGATGCAGAAGTCTAATAATGGCAAATAACAACTGATCATTGTGCCCTAATGGAATTGTTCGTATTAAATGCTCAAGAAAAAAAATACTTTCTGATAGTTTTCAACCTGCTGGAGCCTCAGCATTGGTGTATCATCATGAACAGAAGTTCTATTCAGGCTACATTTGTTATTCTTTGCATTATCGTCACACAAAAACCAAAAGATGGGTCATAAGCAGTCGGGTGCATGAAAACCAGTCCAAATAGCCAATAAGAAAACCAAAGAAAAAAGGTATCAGAGCCAACTCATTGATGCCTCAAAATGTGAAGAAAATTGATGAGATTTATACATAGATCACTGAACTACCAGTCAGTGGTTCATTAATGTGTCAGTTTTATCACTGGCAATCAGAACATTTCAATCAATAAGGAAGATAGAAATGAAAGCACAAAACACAGAAGAATGTGTGCTAGAAATTTGGCCAGTGTAGTGCAAATATCATAGAAGTTCATTCAAAGCCAGATTAGTTCAGAGTAGGGGGAATGTTCAGAGTCAAAAGATCAATCTGGGGACTCAAAGCATTGTGAGGTTATATTCATTTTGTTTTCATTTGCCCACTATGCAAACGAATACATAAGACACAGAAGGTATTGCAGATGAGGTTGCAAAACCGGTCAAGGAATAGCATAGAAGAATGTGAAATCAGAGAGAAGGTTGATAACTAAGGCCTCAGCTCTTGGGAAATATGGTTTGGAAATCCTCCCCACAGGTTTAGACCGTAGGAGCATGGTTCACATCATCGGCCCGCGATCGAGGCAGAGTGATTGCCACAAACAAAGATGAAATCGAGCAAACAAGCGCTAGGGGGAATTCAGATTGGAAAAAAAAACAAAGTAAATTGTGCCTCAAACCTAGATAATGACTAAGTTCTCACTTTGGATAATGGAAAAAACCACTTCATATTTCTCTAATACCGTGAAAATAACTCCCGATACAGATCAAGGAATCAAGTGTTTACCTGCTGCCGGTACCTAAGCATTGAATTATCATCAGTGTTTTGTTGATGTATCAGCTTCATCAGACTATCAGAACTATTGAACAAATGCATAGAGTTGGAAGTGAGACTACTGTGAAGAATGCAGTCAAGTTGGTATGCTATCCATCAGAGTTAATTGAAACTTATTCAAGGCCTCAGAGACGCGCATGTGTCAAATGCACTTCATTTAACTCACCAGAGTATCAGTACAACTCACAGTTCATCACTGGTCAATCCAAAAAAGAAAGAAAAAGAAACTATGGCTACATAGACATAACAGAAAGTTGCTGTAACTAAGAAAGCCAGATACTATTGAACTCAAATGCCCGATATGCAAATAAATGGCACATCGTCAGCCTAAAAGTATACTCTAGCATTAATAATTTAAGAAGAAAGCTACAACGGGAGAAAGTGAGGAACATGACAAGACATCAAAAACTGCAATTGTGCATTTGATGCAATGCTAACTACATTAATTACATCAAATGTGAATTTGATATGCAGCGGCAATTTCTGGGGAAGTTCAGACTCAAAAAATCAAAGTATATTTGTGGCTCAGAGCATTGCAATGTGTGAGTAATCATAATACATCATTGAATCTTTTCCTCATCATAGCCACTGTACAAACAATACAAAAGATACATAAGGCATTGACTTACTAACAACTGTTATGTGAACACCTGGAAAATGAGAAATTGGAAAGAAGGTTGATAACTAGGTAGGGGCCTCAGCTCTTGGGAAATATACTTTACAAATCCTCCCCACAGGTTAGACCGTAGGAGCAAGGTTTGCATCATCGGCCCACAAAAGATATAATCAGATTATTATTTGTGACTTCTGGATTTCCTATGCTGCATTTCTTCAGATATGCCTCAAACAAAGTGAAGAAAACCAAGAGATCCATGGACCTGTCGTACGGTTCGTCAATTCAATCAGGTTCTTTCATCATCGGCAAAACAGAGGACAATAACTGGCAAGAAAGCTAAACAGCATAGTAAACCGAACTACTAGTCCGGTACAAATTGAGTGCAAGAAGCAACCAAGGTTTTGATTCATATCACTGTCAAACACTATATTTCCGCCTATAGTGTATGTATGGCTAGAGTTCCATAAATGACTGGTTGAATTGACGAACCGTACAACAGGTCCATAGTGTACGGAAAATATAGTGTACACTATATTTCCTGATTGAATTGACGAACCGTACAACAGGTTCCATGGACACTATATTTTCTGTACTAGGAAGAGTCCCTAGTACAGAATCGAATGAGCTCAGGAAGAGAACTAGGGACTCTTCCTGAGACATCAATTACATCAAATGTGATTTTGATATGCAGCAGCAAGAGCTGGGAAAGTTCAGACTAAAAAAACTAAAGTTTCATCACTGGCCAATCCAAAAGACTTTGGTGCAATACAAAAGGCTTAAAAAAATCAGAATTTTATTTTTCATGACTCTGGATGTTTCCTATGCTGCATTTCTTCAGAGATGGCTCAAATAAAGTGAAGAAAACCAAGAGATCCATGGACCCGTTCAACGGGTTCGTCAGTTCGATCGGGTATGAAAGCTAAACATAACTTGTTTTATACAAATTAAGTGCAAGAAAGGACGCAGTGTACCTCATACAGTTCCAACAAACGCAAGAGATATCATAGACGCAAACCTACAGGCTTGCACCTCAAAAATTCAACCAATATTTTTTATTCATATCACTGGCAAAACACTGCATATTTCTCACAAACACACGGGGACAAAGTAGAACAAAGAAGCCAATAAAAGCAGAGCAACATGAACTGCAGTGACCACCAAAATGCAGAGGAAAGGCTCAGGTGCTGTGTGGATTGGTCTGCACCGCGCTAGGAGGTCCACGAAAGCTCTGCGCCGCCTGTCACTCGACCAAAGCTCAGATTGCCCGCCGGCAAGAGCACAGAGCTGAAAGCCTGAAGACGAAATGGGAGTAGAGAAGGTGAATAACAGCCAAGTGAATAACATGAACAAACTTGCACAAAGTGAATAACAGCCAAGAACTCTATAAAATCGATGCAATGCCAAGAACTGAAGACATGTACCTTCTCAAGAAGCACTTCATCGGCGGTGTTGCAATCTCTGTTTTTTGTAATGGAAACTACAATTTCTTGGGAAGATAAATCAGAAAGAATCTTAATGAGGCCAAATCTAGTTAAGGGCCTCAGCTCTTGGGAAATATTCTTTAAAGATCCACCCCACATGAAGAAGGCAAAAATGAAAAAGGCGATCCGACAAAGATTTTTGGATAAACCAAAGATGAACCGAAAAAGATACTTGAGTAGAGCACTGGTGATTCCCAATTCATTCATCAACAATCCATATCAGTGCACCCTGTAAAATTTCGCCAAGACATCAAGTACAGCAAATGTGCCCGAAATCGGAGGTGACATCAATGAAAGGGTGCAGATTGGCCTCATCCATTTTATCAAAGCAAACATATGCAGCTACTAACCGCTCTTATGCATTTTTGGTCTGCAGTGCAAGAGCTAGGGGATGTTCAGACTAAAAAAACAACCAAAACAAATGTGTCGCTCAGAGCATTGCGATTTATGAGTTAATCAAAGTACATCATCCAATCGTTTTTGTCATCATTGCAAACAATACAGAAGGCACAGAAGGTATTCACTTGCTGAATACTGTATAAATTCTCCAACAGTTGCAGTTGCATAAAAATAAGAGCTGAGAAACTCATAAAAGAAAGTCAACTGTATTTTCGTTTAATGATAGAAAGTCAATTCATTTTATATATACATAAAATGAAAAACAAAAAAGTATGTCAAGAACAAGCTTTCAAGCCAATCAAACAAACAACTATTGAGCAGAGTAGTAAGAAAGTCAGGGCAGAGCTGTCAAATTTTAACATGATAATTGCAAAGTATCATATAAGCTAATTCAAGGCCTGAGAGATTCTTAGATGAACTTCATTTTGTTTCATCACTGGCTAATCCACAAGAAGTTGTGGGACAAATCAAGGCTTCTAGAGGGCAAAACAAGTAGAGCACTAGCTACTCTCAGCAGTTCATTGAGAAGCCAGTTTAGTGCACCCTGAGCAACTGCAATACCTCAAGTACAAGAAATTAACATTTTGCAAGAATAGGATGAAAGTTCAGAATCAAAAGATCAAAGTAAATGTGGGGCTCAAAGCATTGCGAGGTTATATTCATTTCTACATCATCGAATGGATTTCTTTTCATTGCCCACTGCACAGACAATTCAAAAGACAAGGAATTGCAGCTGAGGTTGCAAACCTGTCAAGAAAGAGAATGAAGCACAAAGCAACTACATTCTCTTAAGAACATAAAATCAGAAAGAAGGTTGGTAACTAAGGGCCTCAGCTCTTGGGAAATATGTTTAGGAAATCCTCCTCACAGGTCTAGACCATAGGAGCATGGTTCGCATCATCGGCCCAAGAAGGAAGCAAATCAAGCATATTGGTATAAGGGATTGAGCAGATCAGTTACATCAAGCCATTTTTACAGAATAAATGATCATGACAGTTAACTGAGTTACTGTATAAATTGCACCATCTATTTCAATGTGCCCAAATGGAAGTGTTCTGATTCATGCTCTGGAAAATATACAAGTTAGATGGTCATCAACAACAATTATAGGACCAAACCAGAGTTAGCGTAGTGGACTTAACATGCAGGTCTAGCAACAGAAACAGAAGAAAAATATATTCTACTGAATACAGAAATATAGTCATCATTATTGGCCTAAACAAAACAAAAAATTACACTTCAAATGAGCACTTGGCCACTTGATTAAATTTTGGAACGATGTCGCCTCATTGGCCAGACTAAAATCCAAATCTGATTAAATTGACAGATAAGAGTTGCAGTTGTCTATCTCAAATTAATGATGACTAATATTATTATTGGCAAACATCAAGTTAATGATAATAACCAAAATCTGGGCATAATGTCTCAATGATACTACTGAAGCAGTTGAGGAGCAGGACAATACATCAAGAACTGCAATGACAACGGGAAAAATTGAAATGCCTCAACATAACTTCGAGAAATCTGTTCATCATTGCATCCTTTTCTTATCATTTGGCATCCGTTGTTCATAAAGAAATATAGAAGTGAAAGCACAAAATATAGAAGAATTAGGATCAGCGCACATCAAGTACAGCAAACGTGCCAGAAATCTGACATGACTGAAAAACTCCCTTAACAGTGTTCAACGACCATCATGAATGGACGCAATTGTCATCGGTCAAGGTAAAAAATATGTAGCTACTAACCACGCATGGATAACAGATCGAGATAGGGGAAGTTCAGCCTAAAAAATCAAAAAGATCGAGATAGGGGAAGTTCAGCCTAAAAAATCAAAACAAATGCATGGCTCAGAGTATCATAGAATTAAAGTACATCATAGAAAAATCAAAGTACATCATAGAATTGCATTCTCATCATTGCCGCTGTGCAAAAGGCAAGTTCTCATTAGCATGCTCGGGAAAATAAACTTTATGTCAAAAGTATACCTGTAGCTGGCTCCTCGAGATTGATCCTTGCATCAAAACTGTTCAATGAGTACAGAAAGAAGTGAAAACATTATGCTAAACAAGTTAGCATCCGAATGGCTAAATGTAACACGAAACTTGGAAGCTTATCCATGGCCTCAGAGACGCAATGTGAGTGTGTGTCAGTGCACTTCATTCAACTCACTTAAGAGTGTCTGTACAACTCAGGTTTCATCCATCACCGGCCAGTCCAAAAGAAACGATTAGAATCTCAACAGTGCGAAGAGATCCGTCATCGGCAAAAACAGTTGATCCCTTGAGCAGTTAAAACAGAGGATAATGACAGACAGGCAGGCATGAAAGCTCAACAGCATAGCAAGTTCAAGAGAAAGATGCAGTGTGGCTCATCCAAGTAAAGAGACGTCACAAACGCAAACCCACAGGCTTGCATCTCAGGAAAGTCTTTGGTTTCGCAATCACTGCTAACACTGTACCTTTCTTCGTCGATTCATCTCACTAGCCAACTAGAACTGCAGAGTAATTAAGGGCCTCAGCTCTTGGGAAACATTCTTAGAGAATCCTCAGCTTCTTGGTCAAGACCATAGGAGCATGATTAGCATCATCGGCCTAAGAAGAAGGCAAAAAAAGAAAAAAGAAAAATGGTGATCAGACAAAGATGAAAACGAGGGCCTCATAACGGGAGGTGTTCTCTGTCAGAACACCGACCACCATGGATGGTCGCATGGATCAGAGGTAAAAGCTTTTTTATACATAAACATCATCGGCCTCGTCCGTTTCATCAGAGCAATCATCCATGGAGAGAAAATGGAAGAAGCAGCAAAGAAAGAAAATCAAATGTGGAGAGCCTCATATGGAGGGCGATTTTCTGCCAAGCGCGACCATCATCATCATGGATGGTGGTCGCAGAGCAGGTAAAATCTCTTGTTCGTATACATCATCATCGGCCATGAATCTGTTTGAGCAGAGAGCACAAGATCAAGAACACAGAGAGTGCAGCAGAGAGCAAACATGAATCTGTTTGAGGAAGAAGAAGATTCGAACGAAACAAAAACCAATCTCGAACAAAGAAACGCACAATGCCAGAACTTTCTTCGGGAATACGCAAGGAGCACATTTTTTCTATTAAGAGAAATAAAAGTTATTTACAAGGATAAAGGGACAACAGGACACTATGGAACAATGCTAGAACTAAGCACTTACTTGTTCATTCATATGACGGCGGTGATTCGTTCTGCGTAGCAGCTTCGCCGCCACGGACGGACCAGATCGTTCGCCTCTGTTTTGTACCTGCGACACCGGGGACATCGGGACACGTGCCGTTCTCGAATTGGCTGGATTTTCAAATTCATTGTTTGAAAAATCAAAAACTGAATCAAGTTCAAACGCGGCCAAAAGGTGCTTCAGGGTCTTCAACGTAAGGGAATCACAGGGAAACAAATTCATCAGCACACTATGGCAATCAGAAAAAGGAAAAAAACTGAATCCATTGGATTGGTGATGATTAGTCACGCGCAGCGCCTCAGATCGAGAGGAACACAGGTGGCCATCGTTCGAACCAAGAGAGGTTCTTCGATCAGAATTCAACCTAGTACATTTGTGAACTCATCATCGGCGCTGCAATCAAAATTTGCGGGCAAATCAATCAAGAAATTTACAGGGAAAACCCGAGAACGTTGGTCACAAATCCTCTGGCACAAAGGAAGCCGATCAAAAAGCAAACCAAGAACGGGGAGAGTACAGACAAGGCGCCGAACAGTAAAGCTGGACAGATAGCGACACGTGGACGCCTGAGATTGCTCCGCGCAAACAACCAACGGCCCAGATTGTTTCGTCACGCCCAAGGCACGCACCGTTCAAAGCTGCAGTTATTTCTGCAGATGAAAAGGCCAAAAAAAAGCAGAAAATTAAGCAACTGCACCCTCAGAACAATCTAAATTAAACACATCATTTCCACAGCGCAGCTTGTGCGGAGGATCAAAGCATCAGTTGTTCATCACTGGGCTCATAAAATTCAAGAAACGAAATAACCTGGAAAGGATTAGAAATAACTGTGGGTGTTGGTGCACAGGTGGTCATCGTTCGAACCGGAGAAGTTAAACACGGTTCGTCGATCAGAATTCAACCTAGAACCAATTAATTGATTTGATTAACTCAGAAAAAAAAAAGAAAGAAAGCAGAGAAGATGGCATTTTATTTCAAAGGGCATCTCATATCGAGAGGAACAATGTGGTTGTAATCGTCTGGACCGTACATGTTATTCCACACAGGAACATCAATCTGGTCCATCATTATTCAACCTAGTATATTTTGAACTAATCATAGCTGCCCCCAAGAACTACAAACGGAACCAAGATTATTTACTGCTAAGAAACCGAATCAAGGAATGTAAAGCAACAAATTAAAGCTGCTTGCATTGAAAGATTGCAGCCAAGAACAAGATCAACTAGTAAATCACAGAAAAAATGGGAGAACAGAACAACAGTTGTGCTGGCAAGAAGAGCAAATTGTGGTGCTGATGTTTGCATGCACAAACTATAATCAAGTTACAAAAAGAAGAGCAGGGATCAGGGATACAAAAGAAGCAGGTGGTAAGAAAAGAGCAAGCAGATGTACTACTGCAGTTTTGCCTGCAGAAGAACGAGAGAGAGAGAGACCCAAAGGGAGAAAAAAAGAAGAGCAGCTTTACTGATCCTGATCTCCCGGACAGTGCAAGAGAAGCCAAAAAAAAACTTGCTGCTCTGTGCCTCTGACCACGCATGGCATCATGGCATGCACCTATTGGCGGCTTGGCCAGGTACATGCCTGGAGAGAGAGAGAGAACAAGAGAGATGAAGAAAAGAGGAAGAACAGACTAAAAGATGCGAGACAGGTTGTGAAGAAATTAGGAATGGCAAAATAAAGCAACAAAGAAGAGAGACAAGTTGTTGCCGCGAACAACGTTACTAGTTCTGGAAATGTAAACCAGAGCTGCAGATCGAACTGCGAGCGGCAGAGCACAAAGGCAAGAAACCAAAAACACAAAAAAAAAATCCAGGAGATGATCATACACACGCGCACGCAGGGAAGGTAAAAACAATCCTGGCAAGAATCGTACCGATCGTGGAAGAACAGCAACGGAAAAATGCTTTCTCACGGACCAGCAAAAAAGACGCACAAGAAAGAAAGAAAGAAATCACGCCGTGTGTACCGATGACGCAAAATGTTCATCCAAGCCCAAGACGGATCGAGCAACGTGTGTCCCGATGGAGCACCAGTGCGTGCCTCAGATCTGAGCGTTTCTTTGTGACCAAATCACAGCAAGAACCACACACGCATGCACACTCGGAAAGTAAAACAGAAACACAGCAAAGATCTAGAGAAAACAAACACAAGAAAGCAAGAACTTGGGCAATCGAGATCAACAAACACACGAACGCATGCAGCACAAGCTCTCCTCATGGCAATGGCATGCCACTCCACATCTTCTCACGAAGCACACACCAGGGAGATCGAGGAGATCGAACACACCCAAGACCATATGGCAAAGATGCCAAGAACACATCAACCAAGAAGGGGAAAAGCTATAGAAAACCAACCAAAAACTAGTTCTATTCTACCTGCTATACTGCAACTGGAACATGCAGCGCAAGCAGAAACGAGATAACCAAAGTGGGAGAGAGAGGGAGGAATAGTGGTTGGTCAAGCAAGCTGTGTGGGTTGGTCTATAAATAGCGCGACGTTGTTGCCGCGGACGGCGCAGATCATCTGGGCGCATCGGACGGACGGCCGAGATGGCGCCAGATCGAGAGGCCCGGGGCACGTTTCGTCGCGGGCAAGAAGCCTCTCCTCTGCTGCTTTTTGTTTGTGTACGACTGTACGTACGTGTAGACGTGGCCTGACAGGTGGGGCATAGGGGTAGTTTGGGACAGACAATGGGAGGGACTCCCCTCTCTTGCTTTGAGATTGGTGATTTGGGGGGCCGGCTCTCGATCCATGGTGTCGTACTTACGTGGTCGCCGCGCCAATTCTTGTAGCGTGATCGCATAGACGTGATTGGTTAATTGGATAATTGTTGGCTAAGTAAATTGTCTTAAGCCAATTTTATGTCTTTCCTTTCTTTACCCTCAAGATTGTCGATTAGTAGCTTAGCACAAATAGATATAGTGCTTGATTAGCTTTTTTTTTTTTTGGAAAAAGTACGAATTACCCCCAACTATCGCGGTCGTCCGAAATAGCCCCTAAACTACAAAACCTGACATTCTTCACCCCAACTATGCAAACCAGATGAAATACCCCCTAACTCGATTCGAAGCGGTTTTTAGCCTACGTGGCACACACGTGGCGATACAATCAGCAAAAAATAAATAAAACCGATGGGGCCCACCTGTCAGCTTTTTTTCTCTCTCCTTCTCTCCCCCCCCCCTCTCTCTATCCGCACAGAGGAGGCGGCTGGCGCCTGGCGGGCAGTGGGCGAGGAGCTAGGCTCGGGCGGGCGGGGGCGGAGGCGGCTGCCGGTGGCGGGCGTGGGCGGAGGCGGCTACGGGCGACGGGCGAGGAGTCGAGGCCGGCGGCGGGTGGGCGGGGGTGGGGGCGAAGGCGGAGGCGGAGGCGGGGCCCACGGTCCTACCTCACCCCCTCTCTCTTTGCCGCTGGGGGCGCGGTGGGCACGGCGGGGAGGGCGGGCGGCGACTGTGGACGCGGCGGGGAGGGTGGGCGGCGACTGCGGACGCGGCGCACGAGTGTCGGTGGCCGCGTCCACAGCGGCGACGCACGAGATGGAGCTACACAAGAGGCGAACGGCAGCTCGTGGTGGCAGAGCCCGCTTGGCAGCGGCGACATCCTGTTGTTCCTTACCGGGCAGGAGGAGATTGAGACGGTGGAGGTGCCCGCCGGCGGCTGCGGGTGCTCGGCAGCAAGGTGGTGGATGGGAGGGGGAACCGGTCGGCAGTGGGAGCGGCGGGGAGGGGGCGTGGCTGGGAGTGTGCTCTAGGCGGCGATAGGAGCGGCGGGGACGAAGCTTTGGTTGGCGGCGAGTGGCCCGCCTCGCCGGAGTTGGCAAGAGGACAGGCAGAGGCGCGGAGCCCAGGAGGAGCGTGGCTGCTGTGCTCCTGGGCGCAGCCGTGCAGAGTTGCGGCATCCGCGTGGGGCGATGGCGCGGCGGCGTGGCATGGCAGGCGGCGATGGTGGCGAGCCCGCCTCCAACACCGGCCGCACGGTCATGCTCCGTCTCTGCCGCCAGCCGTCGAGCGCATGTGCCTCCTCCTCGGCAATCGAGCGCATGCGCGTGAGAGAGAGAGAGAGAGAGAGAGTATGTTGCCGCTGCCGCTCCTACCACCATCAAGCGCTGCGGGTGCTCCGCTAGGAAAAATGCTATAACAGGTCCCCACCAAAGGACAACGACGATGAGGCCGAGGGCATGGATTCATAGGCAAGAGAGGAGGGCACAGAGACAGAGGCCAAGGCCGAGGAGACGGGCCCAGCAGGCGTGGCCACAACGGTGTTGGCAGTAGCCAACGCGAGAGATGCCATCAAGGAGGAAACACGAGAGATGCTAGGATGGTCGAGGCATAGGAGGCTGAAGCTAGGCCAAGCATCGGAAGACAAAGAGGAGGTGTCAGCGGAAGTGGAGTTGGCGGATAAAGCATTGCGGGAGGCCCCACATGTGCTCCATGATAGGGTTAGCCATTAGTGCTTCCTTCTCGGCGGTGATGAAGAGGGCCCACCACAACTATTATTTTTTAGCACAAGCCTAGAGTATGACAAGTGGGCCAAGTGGTTTATCATTAGCTTGATTTGTTTAGCACGAGCACGGTGATAGGTTGTCTACCTCAATTGAAGTTCATATGAATTTTCAAACTTTTAAATATTTCAAACATAGGTGGTGTCTTTTGAGGCACCCATGAAAATAATTTACACAGTCAACTTGTTAAGTTGTCTACCAGTGCAAACACTTTTTGCGGGAGGTGTCTTAAGACATTTGCCCATGTAGATCGTGTAGACATATTAAATGGACCCATAGTTGTAAGTTCTAAGTACAAGAGTAGTGGAGTACACAGTCCAAAATTGCCAACGCCATCGCTGTTGCCGACGTCTTCTCCTCCATCTCATACATATGTGCTGCAACAAGGGGTCGTATCCATCCAGGTGAGCTCTTGACTCGTCTGATCTCCCACCTACATGCCTTCCATCCAAGTGAGACGCCCAACCATGGATATTGAATGTATTGCTAGTTCGAGATGCAGACTCGATTGCTTGCTTGGGTGATGGAAGTTGTTTGTTGTCTTGCCCATTTGCTTGTTGCCTAGGGTTTAGGGTTCAAGCTGGCTGCATGCATATGGATCTACTTCTTTAGGGTCCAAGCTAACTGCGCATACATATCTACAAGTTTAGGGTTCAGGGTTCAGAGTTCAAAGTTAATTTACACTGGCTCGGTTGCTTGCTTGGGTGATGAAAGTTGTTTGTTGTCTTGCTCATTTGCTTGCTGGCTATGGCTTAGGGTTCAAGCTGGCTGCATACGTATAGATCTACCTGTTTAGGGTCCAAGCTGATTGCGCATACATATCTACTAATTTAGGGTTTGGGGTTCAAGCTAATTGCATGAGAGATATGGTTTTTATTATAGATGTATGCAAGTAGTTG